GGGGGCATGAGGGTATTAAACATAGGGAGTGGTTGACGTACGACCGGCCCAAGTTTGGCCTTGGAGCCTGCGAGCCTTGTCAGAAATCACACTCAAGGTGATAACCGGTTACTCTAGCCTGAAATACTGCGACAGACCTTAGAGTTTGCCAGGTGACGGCGACAGAGATACTGGGTCCCTATAATGGGGGCACCTTGGGGGCCTTAAGACTAAAGTGAGGATAATTAGAACCGTCCTATACAATGCACTTTTTAACAGGGACCACAGACCATGGATGTATATGCGACTGTTTGTGGATTGTATGAGCATATGTTTGTTGCATTTTGTCTATTCAAATCATTCATTTATTTTTATAATTCTGCCAAGGTAAAGAAAAACATAAAAAATTAAAAATGTTTTATCATGTGAGAGAAAACCTAGTGTGAAAATAAGATTTGTGAGAATCATACATTCCTTCCTTAAAAAAAAAAGGGGGCATCATGCATTTTCTACAAAACAAAAAAGAAAAAAAAGAGGGAACATGCATATCATATATTTAGGATCACAAGGGGATTTGTATCAAAGACGAGAAATCAGTGTGACCTCTGTCACATCATAAAATATTATGAAGAGGAACACCGATAACTCACCTCTCGACAAGGATGAGCCATCAAGTCTTTGATAGAAACTCCCTTCATGCATTACCATGTAAATAAACTTGATAGGAAACTATCTTTTCCCTTAAAGGTGGCTTTTCAACATTCCATACTCACACGAGCTCAAAAGATAAAAGTTATGGAAGGCCTAGAGGAAAGAAATCGTGTCCTTAATGAGGAGATTAAACAACTCAAGGAACAAATGGCTAGAATGTTTGAGACCATGAATAAATTGCAGCACGACAATAGTACTAGCAACGTCGGTGATGTTTCCAAAGATCATTTGAATGCCTGGGAAGAAAGACTGAGAGCTGTGGAAGGCCACAGTTTTGACGTTCAAGAGGCTGCGGATATGTGTCTGGTGCAGGATATCCAATTCCCCGCCAAGTTCAAAATCCCTGACTTTCAAAAGTACACTGGAGCTAGTTGTCCAAAAGGACATCTAACAATGTACTGTAGGAAGATGACAGCCTATGTGAGCAATGAAAAG